ATGGATAAGCTGGCAGTCGTGTACGTGAGGCGAGTGTTGATGGTCTTCCCGCACGCGGACAACAAGAAGCAGAGGCAGGGCTAGCTGTTAGCACAGAGAGTGATCGGGGATAGCCCACGGGACAGAGGTAGAGGCCATGACATCAACTAGGATGTTTATTCCCGAGACATGGAGGGAGAGACTGAAGTGAACTGCCGAGAAACCCACCCTAGAACCATCTGCCGACCCCCTGCCAAAACCTGTCCTGTTTTGGGGGGTCTCTATAAGAATGTCCCTCGGGACCCCACAGGGGCTGGGCGTTGCCTTTTTCCACCCCTCTGTCCCTGCTGCCACCAGCTGACCGCTCTCTCTTTGGATCTTTATTTTGACGTCACAATTATAGTTTATATACAAAAAGGGTGTACAGGTTATATTAATAAAGATATATCATATATACAAAATATGGGGGTGGTAGCAAATAGAAAGTGTCATTATTATACAGTTTTAAAATATACGATATACTGTATATATATATTATTGGAGAGAAAATTAATTAAATTTCATATTTGAGATAGAAATAACAAACATATTATTTTTTAAAATTGTAGCCTTATATGAAAAAAACAATATAAATATATATTTGGAATTGTTCTATAATTATTTTACAGATTTTGAATCTAAAAGCTAAGAAATCAACTAGGAAATAAATTTTCATCGTTACTCGTATATAAATATAGTATATTATTATATATATATATATATATTCATATATATAAAATTTGAAAGAAAATTAATTTCAGATTTTAGATATGAATAAAATAAAAAATATGAAATTGTAAAATTTCAGCATTATTTAGGAAATCAAATTACATATATTTTCAAATGTTCTCTAAAATTATTTCTCCTATTTTAAATCTATATAAAAGCTAAAAATTTACTTCAGAAATAAATTTTACATTGTTAGCGCTTTATATAAATATATATTGCTATTTATAAAATTTTAGAATAAATTAATATCAGATTTGAGATAGAAATAAAATTTGAAATAATAATTAGGATAATTGTAGTATTATTTGAAAAAAAAACTGAATATATATATTTTAAAATTGTTCTAAAATTATTTTACAGATTTTGAATCTAAAAGCTATGAAATCAACTCGGAAATAAATTTTGCATCGTTAGCCTTTGTTCCCCTTCGCTAGTTTTTTCCTTTTAGTATAAAACAAGAATAAAAAAAGACAAAGGGTATTTTCTCTTGAACAAATAGATGTTCAATTTTCCGTAAGTCAACCATGAAATTCCCAAGTGGGAGACTTAATCCAGGGGGCAAAAACTAATTTAAGTTAATTATTTTGTGTAAAAACAATTAAAATTTGTTAAATAGCATGTTTTATTCACTATCACACGTTTATTTACATTATTTAAGCTGATTTCTTAGGTGATATATTAATAAATTGATAAAAATCTCTCTAATACACGTAAGATATTTCTTTATTAATATAACAAATGTACACAGATTTTTGAAATAAAAAAAAACCCCATACTTTTGAACTTTATTCCGAATATTTGCTGTCTTTTTAGAAATTTTAATAATTGAATTCACATTGCTGATTACCAATTTGATAAAAATTGAAGAAAATTATCCATATTTTTAAGAATAAATAGTATTCTATATACAGGTAGCTCTTTTTCATAATCACATTCAATAAATCTCATTTTTGAAACTCTAACTATAATGAAATAGAGAGAGATATCGTTTTTAACACTTTTATAAAACAAATTTTATTTGTTTTTTTACAATTCCTTTGTGTACAGTTATAAAATTCCTATGACCGTCAAATTGCTATCTGATTATTTATGTGAGCGTTAACCTATGGAAAGTAAATATGAGCTGTCCTAATCTAGATTCCTATGAGCGACTACCTCCAGGAGGGACCAGGACATCAAAGTTTTGAGTGAGTTTCTAATAAGATATTTTATCTCAATAAATATCCTATACTTAAACATTTTAAATAATGAGCATTTCATTATTATAATTAATAATTAAAAGTGATTGCATCTGTATATTGAATTTATTGAGACAAATATCAAGGTAATAAAATTCTAGCAATTTATCGCCCATAGAATTCATATATCTTAATACACGAGAAGTATCATATAGATGTTAATTTATAAATGAAATTTATTTATTAAAATTAATATTAAATAGGGTTACACTCATAAAATTATCTGAACCCGATTCTAAGAGAAAGAATAGAAAAAAATAAAGAAATTCTCAAACTGAAGGCATTAGAATTCCACCGTTGTTCCATTATATATTCAAATTTTCACAAATTAAATTTAAATTCATATTTATAAAGGATAATTTTGTGAAAATCCAAAATTCAAGCTTTGCGAATTATTATATCACCCAAACTCCTCAATTTTATTATGAAACCAACAAAACTCTAGGTTTTGTTCAAATTCAATAAAGGTAGTTGTCTATGATGATTGGAAATTTGCTTTGACGCCTTCCTTTATTGAGTCATAATTGTAAAATCTATACAGAAATCCGCATGGTGTACAATTTGCATAATGAAATTAGAATCGGCTGTTAGATTGTACGCCTCTAACAAAGGTTCTGTGTTAATTAATGGCTACCTTCAGTTACATAGAAGACCATTTTTGTATATCGCCTAAAGCTAATTACGATTCGACCTTTTAAAAGTTTTCAACATTCAGATCGTTTAAAAGCTACTTAAATCCATAATGTAATTGGACAAATTAAACTTTGAGGTTAATTAGTGTAGATAAGCATAGATGGGTTAGACATGAACTAATTTAATTATGTTTCACTAAATTTAGCGAGCTTTAAAAATGTTCTCCAATTTAATTTATCACCACTCAATTTTATCCCGCTTTAAAAAGAAGGGCCATTTTATATGGAAATGTAAATGTAGATCCAATTTGTCTATAAAAGATAATTGTAAAGTTTTTTTTAGATGAAATGGAAAATAAAGATAATAAAAATGTGTTTCTTTTATTAGAATCGATAAGGGAAACGTATCTCCAAACAGATTACAATTGACAAGCCAATCTGAAAATACAAGAAATAGAAAGTTGAATAAAAGATCAGCTCCAAAAATCACTTTATTAGGTATTGATCAAGAAGAGCAAACTAGTTTATGTTATTTGCAACAATGAATAATATGTGAAGGTTATTCACATATTAAACAAAATGTTAACGCGGGATTCAATCCCGGTTCATGACTGTCGGGAATCGAGGGTGTTACCCACTCGTCCCATAGACAAAAAGGTATTTATACGTATTTATAATTTCCTTGAAGCCAATGCCGAAGTTTACTCAAATACCATAACTAATATTCAGTGTCGTATATATAGGTATATTTGTAAAGGGAAAGAATTTAAAAGCACGAATGTTTATTTTATACATAATACAAACTTCTACTGTCCTTACTGCGATGAAAAAATATATTGGGAGGGCTTAGCTAATCAGTGGTGAACCCTCCCAGGGGTTTCGCATATTTAATCCACCAGACCGCTTCTCAGAGCTCTAATACTGTATTAGACGATTCTGCTTATATACGCAGCACTGAAGGGTGGAATCTCTGAAATGGTTTTCAATAAGACTATGGACATAAGCTTATAGGGCAATTACATTGCCCAATACAATTGTATAGCTCTATAAAGCAGTATAGTTATAGAAAATTTCTTTACTTGATAAATAAATATTCCATATATATATTCATTGCAGTGAGGATAAAAAATAGAAGCATTAAAGCATCAATGTTTTTTAACATAAACAAACTTCTACTGTCCATACTGCAATGGAAAAATATTGGGAGGGCTTAGCTCATCATTTATTTTGACGGGAGAGGCGTCTTATGCTTTTTTGGATCAATTTTATCCTGGAATAAAATTACATCTATTGATTTGGGCAACCACTTTGCATTCTGTACGCCTTTTTTGGCAGATTATAGAGATTACATTGTATCCCGTGTGGATCTCATGGAAAAAAAAATCCGCCCTAGGCTGACGAGGGCCATTAGTCCGAAACCATGGTCTATAGGTGAACACTTCTCAGTCCCAAAGCTGGTGTTGTAGCATTGTCACCGACATGAGACAGATAATTTGCGGGTACGGTCAATAGATGGCGTCTAGGTTTGACGGAAGAGGCGCCCTATTTTTTATAAATCAATTTCCTTCCGGAAAAATTTCCATCCATACATATAAATTTATGAATAAAGTTCGCATCTTCTTTCAAAATTGACGATTCCTTATTTCTTAACTTAATCGTTCGTTAATTCTATTTTTATTGATAATTCAACTGAGTGTATATCTTCAATTAAAAGGCGCCCTCAAAGCTTATTTCCATAATTTTAAATAGCCAAAAACAGGCTCCCAATTGTCTACAATATAAATACATATCACACGGCTCATAATACAATAGTAGCGCATTCTGGACATTCAAAACGGATTTGGAACGTTCTCTAATCACGAGCTTCGCCTTTCAAATACTACTCATTATAAAGGACTGCGGCGTGTGATTATAAACAATACTTAAAATTATACCGCATAAGTTTCTTTTCTATGAAAAATCAATATTTATTTTAAAGAGAAATATTTACTATTTCTAACTTTTTTGAATGAAGTATGAGAGGGTGAAAATATGAAGAGTAATGGCGAACGGGAAAAATAAAAGTGTCCAGGGGCGGGAATCGAACCCACAACCTTCTGCTTACCGGGCAGGTGCCATGTCCACTAGGCTGCCCTGGACGTTATTTCTCCGTTCGTAAATAATACTTAAAGTGACTTATAATACATTATAAAGGACTGCGGCGTGTGATTATAAACAATACTTAAAATTATACCAAATAAGTTTCTTTTCTATGAAAAATCAATATTTATTTTAAAGAAACTTATGCGGTATAATTTTAAGTATTGTTTATAATCACACGCCGCAGTCCTTTATAATGTATTATAAGTTACTTTAAGTATTATTTACGAACGGAGAAATAACGTCCAGGGTAGCCTAGTGGACATGGCATCTGCCCGGTAAGCAGAAGGTTGTGGGTTCGATTCCCGCCCCTGGACACTTTTATTTTTCCCGTTCGCCATTACTCTTCATATTTTCACCCTCTCATACTTCATTCAAAAAAGTTAGAAATAGTAAATATTTCTCTTTAAAATAAATATTGATTTTTCTTAGAAAAGAAACTTATGCGGTATAATTTTAAGTATTGTTTATAATCACACGCCGCAGTCCTTTATAATGTATTATAAGTTACTTTAAGTATTATTTACGAACGGAGAAATAACGTCCAGGGTAGCCTAGTGGACATGGCACCTGCCCGGTAAGCAGACGGTTGTGGGTTCGATTCCCGCCCCTGGACACTTTTATTTTTCCCGTTCGCCATTACTCTTCATATTTTCACCCTCTCATACTTCATTCAAAAAAGTTAGAAATAGTAAATATTTCTCTTTAAAATAAATATTGATTTTTCATAGAAAAGAAACTTATGCGGTATAATTTTAAATATTGTTTATAATCACACGCCGCAGTCCTTCATATTGTACTATAAGTTACTTTAAGTATTATTTAAGAACGGAGAAATAACGTCAAGGGTAGCCTAGTGGACATGGCACCTGCCCGGTAAGCAGAAGGTTGTGGGTTCGATTCCCGCCCCTGGACACTTTTATTTTTCCCGTTCGCCATTACTCTTCATATTTTCACCCTCTCATACTTCATTCAAAAAAGTTAGAAATAGTAAATATTTCTCTTTAAAATAAATATTGATTTTTCATAGAAAAGAAACTTATGCGGTATAATTTTAAGTATTGTTTATAATCACACGCCGCAGTCCTTTATAATGTATTATAAGTTACTTTAAGTATTATTTACGAACGGAGAAATAACGTCCAGGGTAGCCTAGTGGACATGGCACCTGCCCGGTAAGCAGACGGTTGTGGGTTCGATTCCCGCCCCTGGACACTTTTATTTTTCCCGTTCGCCATTACTCTTCATATTTTCACCCTCTCATACTTCATTCAAAAAAGTTAGAAATAGTAAATATTTCTCTTTAAAATAAATATTGATTTTTCATAGAAAAGAAACTTATGCGGTATAATTTTAAATATTGTTTATAATCACACGCCGCAGTCCTTCATATTGTACTATAAGTTACTTTAAGTATTATTTACGAACGGAGAAATAACGTCAAGGGTAGCCTAGTGGACATGGCACCTGCCCGGTAAGCAGAAGGTTGTGGGTTCGATTCCCGCCCCTGGACACTTTTATTTTTCCCGTTCGCCATTACTCTTCATATTTTAACCCTCTCATACTTCATTCAAAAAAGTTAGAAATAGTAAATATTTCTCTTTAAAATAAATATTGATTTTTCATAGAAAAGAAACTTATGCGGTATAATTTTAAGTATTGTTTATAATCACACGCCGCAGTCCTTTATAATGTATTATAAGTTACTTTAAGTATTATTTACGAACGGAGAAATAACGTCCAGGGTAGCCTAGTGGACATGGCACCTGCCCGGTAAGCAGAAGGTTGTGGGTTCGATTCCCGCCCCTGGACACTTTTATTTTTCCCGTTCGCCATTACTCTTCATATTTTAACCCTCTCATACTTCATTCAAAAAAGTTAGAAATATTAAATATTTCTCTTTAAAATAAATATTGATTTTTCATAGAAAAGAAACTTATGCGGTATAATTTTAAATATTGTTTATAAATACTACTCACTTTAGAGAAAAATACAAAAAGAAAATCCGGCAGAATATCCTAAACTCATTGCATAGTTTCTCAGTAGCTAGAAAATAATGTCCAAATTGATTTTAAAATTCAGTTTAAAGTTCTTTATTAAAATGCACTAATGGACAGAATTTGAGAAAGTTGTACCTTTTATCATGTATATCGGTATTCAGAAAACAACTCTGAAAGATATTTGATACACAATGACCTTTAATGAAGTAACAATATAGCCAAGAGTGATAAAAACAGACGGCCAGCGACATTTCCACTTCCTTAAGTGACATTGTTTTTAAAATTTGCATCATATGCATTTTATAATGCTTAAGCTCTTACCTACAGTTTGATTTATAAATATACGTTCGTTCTTGCCTGATTTATAATATAATAAAATAAATAAAGTTTCCAGGGTTAAGTTTCTTGTGTAACTTTTTATTTTCAAGCTTTCGGACTTGTCAATCTTTGATTTATATATATTTTCAAAATATCGTTTTATTTGCTTTAATTTACATACACTAATATAGGAAAACTATATAGGAAATTATCTCGTGAAAGATAGTCTAGAAAATAAGCACGCCTAATCTCTCTCGACGTTGACTTTTCGATGGAGGTGAAATTATAAATGTTGAAATAATCTTCACAATATTTTATAGAATTAATCATGGGAAAAAACTTAAAGAAGTGGAATGCTTTTGAATTCTCTTGTCTGTTTTTTTTTTAAAGAGACAAAGGAAATTTTGTTACCCAATTGATTCTTACTCTTCAATAAAAGTGACTGTTAGGTTTTTTTTTATTATCATTATTATAATAATCAATATGTTAGGTTTTATTTTTTATTATTATTATTGTATTTTATTATTTAATTATAATTCATATTCATAGAATTTTATTGTTACTTATCATCATTCTTTTTGTTGTTTTTCTTCTTCTTCTGTTTTCTTTTGTGTTAAATTCAACTAAATCGCATTAAATCGTAGTGTAATTCTCTTTTGTTGTGTGAAATAAATCGAATTGAATCGAATTGAGTCAGCTCGTTCTTTCTAGAAGAAACATCAAAGAAAACGTGCTAACATTTTTTGGTGCCGAAAAACCCGGGAAAGAAGTAGAAGAAATAGAAAGTTTTTAGAAGCCATAGAAATAAAGAAAGGTAAGGTTTTGAATACTAATCTTTAAAATATGGAAACAGAAATCTTAATTTTTGAATCTCTGATTAAAAGTTTAGAATTGATAAAAGCAGATGTAGAATATAATTTAGAAGGCAATGATAAATACGCACTTATGCAAAATAAAGAAGACTTGTTAAATATAAAAGCTAGCTTTGATAATCAATATGTGAAATTAGTAAAATATAAAGGCATTAATGCTGAAGAAATATTTAAGGTATCCTTTGAGGCAAAGTCTAAAATCAATTCTTTTCTATTAAAAATAAATAGATCGCTGGGAAATATAAATAAAAATACATTTTCTGGTGATACGAATTTAGAACTTCCCAAATTTCAATTGCCCACCTTTAGTGGTGATATTTCAGAATGGCTGAGTTTTAAGGAAATTTTTATTAGATCTATTGATCAAAATCCAACACTGGGAAATTTTCAAAAACTTCAATATTTAAATTCTGCACTAAAAGGAAATGCCGCTAGACTTATTAGGCCGTTCAATATTTCTGAAGAAAATTATCCTATTGCCTGGCAAACTTTGGTCAATAGATTCGACAAAAAAAGTGAATTGGCTTTTAAACAAATTCAAAATTTGTATGATCTAAAAAATGTAAAACAAGAATCGAGTAAAGATTTACTTGATCTCCTGGACACTTGTAACGAAAGCATTCAGAATCTCTCTATCCTCGGATTGGAACGTAATACTTTATCGGATATGATTTTAATTCATATAATTCAATCAAAACTTGATCGTTCAATAAGAAAGGAATGGGAGATGAGTTTGCTTGAGAAAGAATATACATCTTATGAAAAGATGATTTCTTTCCCGGAAAGATTTGCTGGAATTCTCGGGAGTTTTCAGAATAAAGAAAATTCAAAACAATTCTACAAAATGAATAAATCCACTCATTCTCATTCAGCAACATTTGCCTCTGGCTCTAGTATAGATAGCAGAGTCAAGTCATGCGTCTTATGTAAAGGTGAACATATTTTGTTAAAATGTCCTAAGTTTAATGGCATGATGTTACCTGAAAGATGGACTTTTGTAAAAGATAATCGTCTATGTTACAACTGTCTAAGATCTAACCATAGAGTATCGTCATGCGTCTTCACGCAAATTGCAAATCATGTAATAAGAGACATCATACTCTTTTGCATCAGTTCAAACCGGAAATGTTAAGTCTTGTTGCGGACATATCTCCATTGACCCATGCCAGTGTCTCATGTTTTGCAGACAACAAAAGTCATGATCGAATATTACTCTCTACGGCTTTAATAAAGGTCAAATCGGAAAATGGGGTTCTACAAACATGTAGAGCTCTCATAGATACAGGCTCTCAAAGGTGTCTTATAACAAATAGTTGTCGAAAGAAATTAAATCTTCCTCTTGCTGAATGTAAAACTACAGTTTTTGGTTTGGGAAACAAACTTGTAGAACAATCAATAGGTGAGGTCTCTCTCCAATTTAGCCCACATTTCTCAAACCTAATATTCAACGCCAATCCAATAGTCATTGATAAGATCACATCAGAATTGCCCAATTTCTTTATATAAAAGGATAATTGGCCTTATTTGAAAAATCTTCTGTTGGCTGACCCCAATTTTGACAAATCTAGCCAGATTGATTTAGTGATAGGAGCAGAGCTTGCTCCATGCTTATTTAACGGGAAGGTTAGATTCCAAAATTTATCTGGACCCACTGCGTGCGGATCCAAATTGGGATGGTTACTTACAGGTAAAATATTACTGTCAGGTGAAAATTCCAATCAAGATATAACTATGTTCGCGTCGGAGGAACAAGATGATTTTCTCAAAAAATTCTGGGAGCTGGAGTCAGTACCCTCTGCCAAATCTTTAACCAGAGAAGAAATTTCGTGTGAAGAAATATATATTAATAACCTCAAAATTCTGGAAGATGGAAGATACTCTGTTGGGCTGCCATTTAGAACATTGCCAACTCTTGGCGAATCTAGGATCAATGCTCTGAAACGATTTCTATCACTTGAAAGAAAATTACAAAAATCTCCAAGTATCCTAAAACAATATTGTGATTTCATGGACGAATATCTTTTAATCAATCATATGGAGCTTATTCCCAGTGATGCGCTGGATACACCTTCAGGACAATGTTATTATATACCTCATCATTGTGTTTTTAAGGAGCAACGCACTACCACTAAATTGAGAGTTGTTTTTGATGCATCTTGCAAAACTAGCAATGGCAAATCTCTAAATGACTTTCTTCATGTAGGACCAAAACTACAACAGGATATCTTCAACATTCTGATAAGATTTCGAACACGCCCAATAGCATTTTCAGGAGATATAGAGAAAATGTATCGCCAAGTAAGAATCGATTCTAGGGATTGTGATTTCCAGAGAATTTTATGGAGAAAAAACCCACCAGAACCTTTATTGGATTATAGACTACTGACTGTGACATATGGATTGTCTTGTGCGCCATATCTCGCCATGCGTACCCTACATCAACTTGCAAGGGACAAGGTGTCAACTTTCCCAGTGGCCTCAAAAATAGTACAAACCGATTTTTATGTTGATGACTTGCTTTCTGGTGCAGACACAATTGAAGAAGCTACATGTCATATTCGTGAAGTCAATAATCTTCTTTCTTCACCCGGATTTTCTCTTAGGAAATGGAGATCAAACGTCCCAGAGGTCCTTTCTGGATTATCAGAACAGGTTGAAGATAGGTATAATCTTTGGGATTTTGAGAGTGATTCACGTGTCAAAATATTTGGTATTTGTTGGAATCCTTCCTTGGACATTTTTCAGATTCTTGTTAATGACATTCCAGAACAAACGAATTCTAAAATACATTTGTTGTCCCACATCTCCAGAATCTTTGATCCTATAGGCTGGCTGTCACCAGTTATTATTCGTCTTAAAATTTTGCTTCAATCACTTTGGAAACAGAAGTTGAATTGGGATGATTTCTTGTCTGATACTTTGTGCTCTCAATGGAAGAAAATCGAAAAGGAATTATCCGTATTAAATAAAATTCAAATTCCTAGGTACTTCTCGTGCAGGGGAGCTTTACTTTCTGTTGAACTT